AAGAAGTGTACTGGTGTGTACTAGGGACACATGTTGAATGGTAGGGTGGAACAGGTGAGTGGAAAGAGGGTACTGGTGTGTACTGGGGACACATGTTGAATAGTAAGGGACAGGAACAGGTGAGTGGAAGAGGGTACTGGTGTGTACTAGGGACACATGTTGAATGGTAGAAAAGTGGAACAGGTGAGTGGAAGAAGGGTACTGGTGTGTACTGGGGACACATGTTGAATGGTGAGGGGTGGAACAGGTGAGTGGAAAAAGTGTACTGGTGTGTACTGGGGACACATGTTGAATGAGTAAGGGGGTGGAACAGGTGAGTGAAAAGAGGTACTGGTGTGTCCTGGGGACACATGATGAATGGTGGGGGTGGACCAGGTGAGTGGAAGAGGGTACTGGTGTGTACTGGGGACACATGGTGAATGGTGGGGGTGGAACAGGTGAGTGGAAGAGGGTACTGGTGTGTACTGGGGACATATGGTGAATGGTGGGGGTGGAACAGGTGAGTGGAAGAGGGTACTGGTGTGTACTGGGGACACATGTTGAATGGTGGGGTGGAACAGGTGAGTGGAAAGAGGTACTGGTGTGTACTGGGGACACATGTTGAATGGTGGGGTGGAACAGGTGAGTGGAAGAGTGTACTGGTGTGTACTAGGGACACATGTTGAATGGTGAGGGGTGGAACAGGTGAGTGGAAGAGAGTGTACTGGTGTGTACTGGGGACACATGTTGAATGGTGGGGGTGGGACAGGTGAGTGGAAGAGTGTACTGGTGTGTACTGGGAACACATGGTGAATGGTGGGACAAGTGAGTGGAAGAGTTTACTGGTGTGTACTGGGGACACATGGTGAATGGTGAGGGTGGAACAGGTGAGTGGAAGAGTGTACTGGTGTGTACTGGGGACACATGGTGAATGGTGGGACAGGTGAGTAGAAGAGGGTACTGGTGTGTACTGAGGGACACATGGTGAATGGTGAGGTGGAACAGGTGAGTGGAAGAAGTGTACTGGTGTGTACTGGGGACACATGTTGAATGGTGGGGTGGAACAGGTGAGTGGAAAGAGTGTACTGGTGTGTACACAGGGACACATGTTGAATGGTAAGGGGTGGGACAGGTGAGTGGAAAGAGTGTACTGGTGTGTACTAGGGACACATGTTGAATAGGTGGGGGTGGAACAAGGTGAGTGGAAGAGTGTACTGGTGTGTACTAGGGACACATGTTGAATAGTGGGGGTGGAACAGGTGAGTGGAAAGAGTGTACTGGTGTGTACTGGGACACATGTTGAATAGTGGGGGTGGAACAGGTGAGTGGAAAGAGAGTGTACTGGTGTGTACAGGGACACATGTTGAATGGTAGAGGTGGAACAGGTGAGTGGAAGAAGTGTACTGGTGTGTACTGGTGTGTACTGGGGACATATATGTTGAATGGTGGGGGTGGGACAGGTGAGAGTGGGAAAGAGTGTACTGGTGTGTACTAGGGACACATGTTGAATGGTAGAATTGGGACAGGTGAGTGGAAAGAAGTGTACTGGTGTGTACTGGGGACACATGTTGAATGGTGGGGGTGGGACAGGTGAGTGGAAAAAGTACTGGTGTGTACTAGGGACACATGGTGAATGGTGAGAGGTGGAACAGGTGAATGGAAAGAGTGTACTGGTGTGTACTGAGGGACACATGTTGAATGAGTAAGGGGTGGGACAGGTGAGTGGAAAAGAAGTGTACTGGTGTGTACTAGGGACACATGTTGAATGGTGTAGAGGTGGAACAGGTGAGTGGAAGAAGTGTACTGGTGTGTACTAAGGGACACATGTTGAATAGTAAGAGGAGTGGGACAGGTGAGTGGAAAAAGTGTACTGGTGTGTACTAGGGACACATAGTGGGGAGTGGAACAGGTGAGTGGAAAGAAGTACTGGTGTGTACTGGGGACACATGTTGAATAGTGTAAGGGGTGGAACAGGTGAGTGGAAGAGTACTGGTGTGTACTGAGGGACACATGGTGAATGGTGAGGTGGAACAGGTGAGTGGAAAGAGGGTACTGGTGTGTACTGAGGGACACATGGTGAATGATGGTAAGAGGTGGAACAGGTGAGTGGAAGAGGTACTGGTGTGTACTGGGGACACATGGTGAATGGTGGGGGTGGAACAGGTGAGTGGAAGAAGAGTGTACTGGTGTGTACTGGGGACACATGTTGAATGAGTAGGGGTGGAACAGGTGAGTGGAAAGAGGGTACTGGTGTGTACTGGGGACACATGTTGAATAGTAGAGGTGGAACAGGTGAGTGGAAGAGAGGTACTGGTGTGTACTGGGGACACATGTTGAATAGGTAGAGGGTGGAACAGGTGAGTGGAAGAAGAAGTGTACTGGTGTGTACTGGGGACATATGTTGAATGGTGGGGGTGGAACAGGTGAGTGAAAAGAAAGGGTACTGGTGTGTCCTGAGGGACACATGATGAATAAGTAGGGGGTGGGACAGGTGAGTGGAAGAGAGGTACTGGTGTGTACTAGGGACATATGTTGAATGGTGGGGTGGGACAGGTGAGTGGGGGAGTGTACTGGTGTGTACTGGGGACACATGTTGAATAAGTGGGGGTGGGACAGGTGAGTGGAAGAAGTGTACTGGTGTGTACTGGGGACACATGTTGAATGAGTGAGGGGTGGGACAGGTGAGTGGAAGAGTACTGGGGACACATGTTGAATGGTGGGGGTGGAACAGGTGAGTGGAAGAGTGTACTGGTGTGTACTGGGGACACGTGTTGAATGGTGGGGGTGGAACAGGTGAGTGGAAGAATGTACTGGTGTGTACTGGGGACACATGTTGAATGGTGGGGGTGGAACAGGTGAGTGGAAGAGGTACTGTACTGGGTGTGTACTGGGGACACATGTTGAATGGTGGGGGTGGAACAGGTGAGTGGAAAGAATGTACTGGTGTGTACTGGGGACACATGTTGAATGGTGGGTGTGGGACAGGTGAGTGGAAAGAGGGTACTGGTGTGTACTGGGGACACATGTTGAATGGTGAGGGGTGGAACAGGTGAGTGGAAAGAAGTGTACTGGTGTGTACTGGGGACACATGTTGAATGAATGGTAGGGGTGGAACAGGTGAGTGGAAGAGGGTACTGGTGTGTACTGGGGACACATGTTGAATGGTAAGGGGTGGAAGAGTGTACTGGTGTGTACTGGGGACACATGTTGAATGGTGGGGGTGGAACAGGTGAGTGGAAGAGTGTACTTGTGTGTACTGGGGACACATGTTGAATGGTGGGTGTGGGACAGGTGAGTGGAAAGAGTGTACTGGTGTGTACTGGGGACACATGTTGAATGAGTGGGGCTGGGACAGGTGAGTGGAAAGAGTGTACTGGTGTGTACTGGGGACACATGTTGAATGAGTAAGTGGGGTGGAACAGGTGAGAGTGGAAGAGGGTACTGGTGTGTACTGGGGACACATGTTGAATGGTGGGTGTGGGACAGGTGAGTGGAAGAGGGTACAGGTGTGTACTGGGGACACATGTTGAATGGTGGGGGTGGAACAGGTGAGTGGAAGAGGTACTGGTGTGTACTGGGGACACATGTTGAATAGTGAGGGGTGGGACAGGTGAGTGGAAGAGGGTACTGGTGTGTACTGGGGACACATGTTGAATGGTAAGGGGTGGGACAGGTGAGTGGAAGGGTACTGGTGTGTACTGGGGACACATGTTGAATGGTAGGGGTGGAACAGGTGAGTGGAAAGAGTGTACTGGTGTGTACTGGGGACACATGTTGAATGGTAGGGGTGGAACAGGTGAGTGGAAGAAGTGTACTGGTGTGTACTGAGGGACACATGTTGAATAGTGAGGTGGGACAGGTGAGTAGAAAGAAGTGTACTGGTGTGTACTGGGGACACATGTTGAATGGTGGGGGTGGAACAGGTGAGTGGGAAGAGTGTACTGGTGTGTACTGAGGGACACATGTTGAATAGTGGCGTGGGACAGGTGAGTAGAAAAGTGTACTGAGTGTGTACTGGGGACACATGTTGAATGGTAAGGGGTGGAACAGGTGAGTGGAAGAGTGTACTGGTGTGTACTGGGGACACATGTTGAATGGTGGGGTGGGACAGGTGAGTGGAAGAAGTGTACTGGTGTGTACTGGGGACACATGGTGAATGAGTGAGGGAAGTGGGACAGGTGAGTGGAAGAGGTACTGAGGTGTGTACTGGGGACACATGTTGAATAGTGGGTGTGGAACAGGTGAGTGGAAAGAGTGTACTGGTGTGTACTGGGGACACATGTTGAATGATAGAGGTGGGACAGGTGAGTGGAAGAGAGGTACTGGTGTGTACTGGGGACACATGTTGAATAGTGGGGGTGGGACAGGTGAGTGGAAAGAGGTACTGGGGACACATGTTGAATGGTGGGGGTGGGACAGGTGAGTGGAAGAGTGTACTGGTGTGTACTGGGGACACATGTTGAATGAGTGGGGTTGGAACAGGTGAGTGGAAAGAGTGTACTGGTGTGTACTGGGGACACATGTTGAATAGTGAGGGGTGGGACAGGTGAGTGGAAAGAGTGTACTGGTGTGTACTGGGGACACATGTTGAATGGTGGGGGTGGGACAGGTGAGTGGAAAGAGGGTACTGGTGTGTACTGGGGACACATGTTGAATGGTAAGGGGTGGGACAGGTGAGTGGAAGAGTGTACTGGTGTGTACTGGGGACACATGTTGAATGAGTAGGGGGTGGGACAGGTGAGTGGAAGAGGTACTGGTGTGTACTGGGGACACATGTTGAATGGTGGGGGTGGGACAGGTGAGTGGAAGAGGGTACTGGGGACACATGTTGAATGGTGGGGGTGGGACAGGTGAGTGGAAGAGGGTACTGGTGTGTACTGGGGACACATGTTGAATGGTGGGGGTGGGACAAGTTACCTTCACCCATCTGAAGTGTTCTGTCTGTGTCTGACCCTACCCTGATGTTAGGCTATATATGACACTCTCCTGTGTGTACTGTATGCTATATTATTGTGATACAGGTACACCCTTCTGAAGTTCTGGCCAAGAAGGAAGCAGAGGAGAATTCTCTCATTAATGATGCACTGACAACAAAAGCTGACCTAGCAGTTGAGCTGAAAAATGTGTAAGTTCTTCCTCTCCTTATGATAATTTGTCTGTAGGTAAACACTGCACCCAGCACTAACCTATCTGTAATCTGACTGCCTCTTAATTATCAAACCTGGACCAGACAAATTGGTGACTGATAGCATCTGTGTAACAGAATCTGATAACCCAATCAACTTACAGTTACAAGTACAGGTAGTGCTGGAGTTATCTGGAGTTGTGTAAGCTTTTCAAAGAGTATCTGTAACTGTAGTGAAATTGTTCCTATCAACTATTTTTTCAAGGGCAATTTTCTCAGTGGAATAGGACAGTTGTACATTAACACTGACAATATTTGTTGGGTCATTATAAGCAATAACTTAATTTGGAACTGATCATTGTTGATGACATCTCTAGTCAGTGACGTGTGTTAGATGTGTCTGTGTGTTGTATGTTAGTCACTGATGCGTGTTACAGCCAAGTTCTGCAGGCTGAAGACCAGAAAGCTGTGTCTCTACGATCCATATTAAAGCTTGCTGTCTCAGGTAAATACTTCAAACTTGAGTGTCTTGAATATCTTCAACTCCTCAGTATTAAATCTTTAAATCTGAGTGTTATGTAAGACCATGTATCTTCATGCACCAGGTAGAGTCATACTGGTCCAGACAACCTGGACATTGTGTCATGGCCTGGTTGTAGTGTGTGTCAATAGCCTGGTTGTAGTGTGTGTCATGGCCTGGTTGTAGTGTGTGTCAATAGCCTGGTTGTAGTGTGTGTCATGGCCTGGTTGTAGTGTGTGTCAATAGCCTGGTTGTAGTGTGTGTGATTGGCCTGGTTGTAGTGTGTGTCATGGCCTGGTTGTAGTGTGTGTCAATAGCCTGGTTGTAGTGTGTGTGATTGGCCTGGTTGTAGTGTGTGTCATGGCCTGGTTGTAGTGTGTGTCAATAGCCTGGTTGTAGTGTGTGTGATTGGCCTGGTTGTAGTGTGTGTCATGGCCTGGTTGTAGTGTGTGTCAATAGCCTGGTTGTAGTGTGTGTGATTGGCCTGGTTGTAGTGTGTGTCATAGCCTGGTTGTAGTGTGTGTCAATAGCCTGGTTGTAGTGTGTGTCAATAGCCTAGTTGTAGTGTGTGTCAATAGCCTGGTTGTAGTGTGTGTCCATGACCTGGTTGTAGTGTGTGTCAATAGCCTGGTTGTAGTGTGTGTCAATAGCCTGGTTGTAGTGTGTGTCAATAGCCTGGTTGTAGTGTGTGTCATGGCCTGGTTGTGTGTATCATGGCCTGGTTGTAGTGTGTGTCATGGCCTGGTTGTAGTGTGTATCACAGCCTGGTTGTAGTGTGTGTCCATGGCCTGGTTGTAGTGTGTGTCATGGCCTGGTTGTAGTGTGTGTCAATAGCCTGGTTGTAGTGTGTGTCATGGCCTGGTTGTAGTGTGTGTCAATAGCCTGGTTGTAGTGTGTGTCAATAGCCTGGTTGTAGTGTGTGTCATGGCCTGGTTGTAGTGTGTGTCAATAGCCTGGTTGTAGTGTGTGTCAATAGCCTGGTTGTAGTGTGTGTCAATAGCCTGGTTGTAGTGTGTGTCATGGCCTGGTTGTGTGTATCATGGCCTGGTTGTAGTGTGTGTCATGGCCTGGTTGTAGTGTGTATCACAGCCTGGTTGTAGTGTGTGTCCATGGCCTGGTTGTAGTGTGTGTCATGGCCTGGTTGTAGTGTGTGTCAATACCCTGGTTGTAGTGTGTGTCATGGCCTGGTTGTAGTGTGTGTCAATAGCCTGGTTGTAGTGTGTGTGATTGGCCTGGTTGTAGTGTGTGTCATGGCCTGGTTGTAGTGTGTGTCAATAGCCTGGTTGTAGTGTGTGTGATTGGCCTGGTTGTAGTGTGTGTCATGGCCTGGTTGTAGTGTGTGTCAATAGCCTGGTTGTAGTGTGTGTGATTGGCCTGGTTGTAGTGTGTGTCATGACCTGGTTGTAGTGTGTGTCAATAGCCTGGTTGTAGTGTGTGTGATTGGCCTGGTTGTAGTGTGTGTCATGACCTGGTTGTAGTGTGTGTCAATAGCCTGGTTGTAGTGTGTGTCAATAGCCTGGTTGTAGTGTGTGTCAATAGCCTGGTTGTAGTGTGTGTCATGGCCTGGTTGTGTGTATCATGGCCTGGTTGTAGTGTGTGTCCATGACCTGGTTGTAGTGTGTATCCATGGCCTGGTTGTAGTGTGTGTCATGGGCTGGTTGTAGTGTGTATCATGGCCTGGTTGTAGTGTGTGTCCATGGCCTGGTTGTAGTGTGTGTCAATAGCCTGGTTGTAGTGTGTGTCAATAGCCTGGTTGTAGTGTGTGTCAATAGCCTGGTTGTAGTGTGTGTCAATAGCCTGGTTGTAGTGTGTGTCATGGCCTGGTTGTAGTGTGTATCATGGCCTGGTTGTAGTGTGTATTAGGCCTGGTTGTAGTGTGTGTCCATGACCTGGTTGTAGTGTGTGTCATGGCCTGGTTGTAGTGTGTGTCATGGCCTGGTTGGAGCCTGTGTCAGGGCCTGGTTGTAGTGTGTATCATGGTCTGGTTGTAGTGTGTGTCATGGCCTGGTTGTAGTGTGTATCATGGCCTGGTTGTAGTGTGTATTAGGCCTGGTTGTAGTGTGTGTCTATGACCTGGTTGTAGTGTGTGTCATGGCCTGGTTGTAGTGTGTGTCATGGCCTGGTTGGAGCCTGTGTCAGGGCCTGGTTGTAGTGTGTATCATGGTCTGGTTGTAGTGTGTGTCATGGCCTGGTTGTAGGGTGTGTCCATGGCCTGGTTGTAGTGTGTATCATGGCCTGGTTGTAGTGTGTGTCCATGGCCTGGTTGTAGTGTGTATCATGGCCTGGTTGTAGTGTGTATCATGGCCTGGTTGTAGTGTGTATCATGGCCTGGTTGTTGTGTGTGTCCATGACCTGGTTGTAGTGTGTGTCATGGCCTGGTTGTAGTGTGTATCATGGCCTGGTTGTAGTGTGTCATGGCCTGGTTGTAGTGTGTGTCATGGCCTGGATGTAGTGTGTGTCCATGACCTGGTTGTAGTGTGTGTCATGGCTTGGTTGTAGTGTGTGTCTATGTCCTGGTTGTAGTGTGTGTCCATGGCCTGGTTGTAGTGTGTATCATGGCCTGGTTGTAGTGTGTATCATGGCCTGGTTGTAGTGTGTGTCATGGCCTGGTTGTAGTGTGTGTCCATGACCTGGTTGTAGTGTGTGTCATGGCCTGGTTGTAGTGTGTCAGGGCCTGGTTGTAGTGTGTGTCCATCGCCTGGTTGTAGTGTGTGTCCATGGCCTGGTTGTAGTGTGTATCATGGCCTGGTTGTAGTGTGTGTGCATGGCCTGGTTGTAGTGTGTATCATGGCCTGGTTGTAGTGTGTATCATGGCCTGGTTGTAGTGTGTATCATGGCCTGGTTGTAGTGTGTATCATGGCCTGGTTGTTGTGTGTGTCCATGACCTGGTTGTAGTGTGTGTCATGGCCTGGTTGTAGTGTGTCATGGCCTGGTTGTAGTGTGTGTCATGGCCTGGTTTTAGTGTGTATCATGGTCTGGTTGTAGTGTGTGTCATGGCCTGGTTGTAGTGTGTATCATGGCCTGGATGTAGTGTGTGTCCATGACCTGGTTGTAGTGTGTGTCATGGCTTGGTTGTAGTGTGTGTCTATGGCCTGGTTGTAGTGTGTGTCCATGGCCTGGTTGTAGTGTGTATCATGGCCTGGTTGTAGTGTGTATCATGGCCTGGTTGTAGTGTGTATCATGGCCTGGTTGTAGTGTGTGTCCATGACCTGGTTGTAGTGTGTGTCATGGCCTGGTTGTAGTGTGTATCATGGCCTGGTTGTAGTGTGTCAGGGCCTGGTTGTAGTGTGTGTCCATCGCCTGGTTGTAGTGTGTGTCCATGGCCTGGTTGTAGTGTGTATCAGGGCCTGGTTGTAGTGTGTGTGCATGGCCTGGTTGTAGTGTGTATCATGGCCTGGTTGTAGTGTGTATCATGGCCTGGTTGTAGTGTGTATCATGGCCTGGTTGTAGTGTGTGTCCATGACCTGGTTGTAGTGTGTGTCATGGCCTGGTTGTAGTGTGTATCATGGCCTGGTTGTAGTGTGTCAGGGCCTGGTTGTAGTGTGTGTCATGGCCTGGTTGTAGTGTGTGTCATGGCCTGGATGTAGTGTGTGTCCATGACCTGGTTGTAGTGTGTGTCATGGCTTGGTTGTAGTGTGTGTGTCTATGGCCTGGTTGTAGTGTGTGTCCATGGCCTGGTTGTAGTGTGTATCATGGCCTGGTTGTAGTGTGTGTCATGTCATGGCCTGGTTGTAGTGTGTGTCCGTGGCCTGGTTGTAGTGTGTATAATGGCCTGGTTGTAGTGTGTGTCATGGTGAAGACCACCTGGAGGGGTCTGTCCATATGCTGGTTGTTTTGTCTGTCATGGGTCTCTGGTCTCCGATATATGGTGTGAAAGTCATTGGGTCCTTGTCAAAATGTTTGAAGCGGAATGTTTATTGGTTCCTTGTAGTGAATACTGTCATATACCTGAATGACAAGAGGGCCTCTTGCTATATTTTGAACACAGTCATAATTGTATTCCCTTGATGTTTCCTACTCCAGGAGGTATGTGGTAAAAGCTTATAGGTCCAAGAACTATGGCGCAAGAGCACTTCACAAATATAAACATTTTTCCTTCAGAGGAAGAGAAACAAACCCGTCATGTGAGGTTTGCCATCCCGAAAAAGTCAGATATCATCTACATACCTGCTAGAAAGAGAAAGAAAAAGAAGAAATGTATATTCAAGAAGAAAGGGAAGAGTGAGTTATGTTTTGGGCCTTATGTTGATAAGTGCGTGCGTTCTACATAAGCTGCAATAGTAAAGTATTCAGTGAGTACTGTGTATGAGCCTTATTCTGGTAGAGTGTATGCTTTACATTAAAGCTGCAGTGATGAAGTCTGGGTCAGAATTGGTCATTAGCAACCACTGAATGTTTCTCCGTGGCCAGGTGAATGTTTATTACTAGTTCTGTAGACCCTTGCAATTCTCTGCAGGGTATGATTTCCATTTTTTTTTTCAACCTCCACGTACACATGATAGGAAAATATACTATTTAATATCAAACTTGACACCAGTAATATTGTGCACTTATGGTGACTAATGTTATTTGCACTGGGTGCACCATCAGGGCTCCAGATAAGGGCCGTATCGGCGTATGTATGGATAAAATATATGCACGATACGGTAGGAAATAATTTAGAAAACGTAGCAGGTACACACCACGGCAATGGTGTACGGTCCTAGAATCATTTACAGACGTATTTATCTGAAAAAAGTATTGTTTTATTGTTTATTGACCTGTTTACACAAGACTAGCAATGTTGAAACACAAGGTTACTGATATGCCATTAAATTCCATGTTGAAATATTATCTGGAGCCCTGAACATGATGATACAGATTACCTGCAATTACCTGAACACATGAATTTCTTTTACAGAACGTGCTAGTAAGATCATATTTCCGATAGTACCGACTACAGCTGTCGGCATCACACATATTCCACAAGGCCAGTCAGTCAAAGTTTATGCGATGAAGGACTTGACTGCTGAGTCAGTGAATGATCTCACGTGCAAAGAAGGTATGTTAAGTACATCAGTATTGTTTACAATGGAGAATACTGGCCTATGAAACATTTTGCCATTCATTATTAAAGTCTGAAATTGTTTTTCACAGTTATGTTGAATATATGTAATATTAATCTAGATAAAAATTATGGAGAAAGTAATGGATTCTCTTGTGCTGAGAATGAATAAGAGATCAGTATTGGGTCATTAATTTCAAAGGGCTTCTGAAATTTTTACAGAATAGCCTCAAACAAATGATTTCTATCAATGTTTGGATTAATGTTCCATTGAAAGGAAACAAGTTGCAAATAACTCACTCTCTCACTCTTGCTCTCAATCTCACACTGTCCCTCTCACTCACTCTCTCTCTCACACTGTCACCTGTACAATCCTAAAATTTGACTATTCCAGGATGCAAGATCCACATGGTGAAACCAGCGATGAATGACCGCGCCTTTGGTTACATCGAGAAGGGAACATTTCTCAAGAAAAGGATCTACGGCTACTTCAACGACCAGCATGTCAGCATCTACAAGAATCAAAATGCATCTTCCACCTTCTGGTTCCTTTCTTAAATAACATGGACCTATTTATAGATCTCTCCTAATAGACCTGGGTTTGGACTTGATATGGACTTAAAACTTGGATACTCCTTGATACAATCGGGTTTGTTACACTCATATATTGTTTACTCTACTTTTACACAATTTTACTTGACATGTGATATGAATTTCATAGTATTTTGTGATGTAATTGGTGCTGAGGGATGGGTGATTTTTTGAGGCATAGAATAGGTGTACAAATCTTTTTATGAAGATGATGAGTAGATTAAGAGATTGTTGTCATAGAACTCTGTAATGTTTGAAGTTTTCAAAGTACCTGGATGCATATGGGAGGTCACTGCAAGTGGGTCAAGCCCTTTGTAAGGTATTAGGGAACATGGGGTAGGAGGTGAGAGAGCTGACCAGCCAACGTTAGAGGTCCCTCAAATTTCTCGATTAAACCACAAGAACAGTGTGATTGGGGTGGAACTTGAGTGCCTATTTCTACTTTACCTTCAGAGTGGTGTAATTAGGGAGGAACATTGAATATGTATGTCTTCATTAATCCATCTATCCAATGTATTCAGGGTCGAACGTAGAGTACACATTTCTCCATTAATCCATCTGCCCAGTGTAATCAGGGTGGAACTTACAGAACACATTTCTCCTTTAATCGATCTGCCCAGTGTAATCAGGGTGGAATGTAGAGTACACATTTCTCCATTAATCCATCTGCCCAGTGTAATCAGGGTGGAATGTAGAGTACACATTTCTCCATTAATCCATCTGCCCAGTGTAATCAGGGTGGAATGTAGAGAACACATTTCTCCATTATTCCATCTGCCCAGTGTAATCAGGGTGGAATGTAGAGATCCATCTGCCATTTCTGGTGTCAGGGTGGAATGTAGAGAACACATTTCTCCATTAATCCATCTGCCCAGTGTAATCAGGGTGGAATGTAGAGAACACATTTCTCCATTAATCCATCTGCCCAGTGTAATCAGGGTGGAATGTAGAGAACACATTTCTCCATTAATCCATCTGCCCAGTGTAATCAGGGTGGAATGTAGAGAACACATTTCTCCATTAATCCATCTGCCCAGTGTAATCAGGGGTGGAATGTAGAGAACACATTTCTCCATTAATCCATCTGCCCAGTGTAATCAGGGTGGAATGTAGAGAACACATTTCTCCATTAATCCATCTGCCCAGTGTAATCAGGGTGGAACGTAGAGAACACATTTCTCCATTAATCCATCTGCCCAGTGTAATCAGGGTGGGTAGAGAACACATTTCTCCATTAATCCAAGTGTCAGGGAAGCACATTTCTCCATTAATCCATCTGCCCAGTGTAACACATTTCTCCATTAATCCATGTGCCCAGTGTAATCAGGGTGGGAGCGTAAGAGAACTCATTTCTCCATTAATCCATCTGCTCAGTGTAATCAGGGTTAAAGCGTAGAGAACACATTTCTCCATTAATCCATGTGCTCCAGTGTAATCAGGGTTAAGCGTAGAGAACTCATTTCTCCATTAATCCATCTGCCCAGTGAAATCAGGGTTTAGCAGTGAGAGAACACATTTCTCCATTAATCCATCTGCCCAGTGTAATCAGGGTGGAATGTAGAGAACACATTTCTCCATTAATCCATCTGCCCAGTGTAATCAGGGTGGAATGTAGAGAACACATTTCTCCATTAATCCATCTGCCAAGTGTAATCAATGAGGGAAAGTAGGGTACACATTTCTTCAATAATCCATCTGCCCATTTTCATTAGGAAGGAAATGCATACATCTCCAGTCACATCCCTTAGGAAGGACACAAGTGTACACAAGTCTCCAATACTGATGGCACATACACTGTTGACTAAACTTCAGGAAATGGCCAACAACAAGCAATACTGATGTGATATTTCTACATCTACGACCATCCTAATAAGCTGGTAACATTGGCTACACGTCTCCTCCTGTCCTCCTATCAGCCCTACTACTGTGAATATCCTACTACTACGACCATCCTAATAAGGTGGTAACATTGGCTACGTCTCCTCCAGTCACTCCTATCGCATTTACTACTATGAATATCCTACTACTACTGACCATCCTAATAAGGTGGTAACATTGGCTACACGTCTCCTCCAGTCACTCCTATCGGCCCTACTACTATGAATATCCTACTACTACGACCATCCTAATAAGGTAGTAACATTGGCTACGTCTCCTCCAGTCACTCCTATCGGCCCTACTACTATGAATATCCTACTACTCGACCATCTTAAGGTGGTAACATTGGCTACGCGTCTCCTCCAGTCACTCCTATCAGCCCTACTACTGTGAATATCCTACTACTACGACCATCCTAAGGTGGTAACATTGGCTACACGTCTCATCCAGTAACTCCTATCATCCCTACTACTACTAATATCCTACTACTAACAAAACTAATAATACTAACTATTCTCCTGCTACTACCGATATCCTGCTACTAGCAATACTACTAAAACAACTAATATCCTAACACCAGCAGTAATTTACACAAGAATGTATGGATGCAGGGGTACACATTTCCGTCTATACCACATATAGGGCTAGTGTGTTCACAGGTGATGGAGGACCGTGAAAACACATGTCCCGTCTATACCACATATAGGGCTAGTGTGTTCACAGGTGATGGAGGACCAGTAGAAAACACATGTCCCGTCTATACCACATATAGGGCTAGTGTGTTCACAGAGTGATGGAGGACCCGTGAAAACACATGACCCATCTATACCACATATAGGGCTAGTGTGTTCACAGGTGATGGAGGACCGTGAAAACACATGACCGATCTATACCACATATAGGGCTAGTGTGTTCACAGGTGATGGAGGACCGTGAGAAAACACATGTCCCATCCATACCACATATAGGGCTAGTGTGTTCACAGGTGATGGAGGGACCGTAGAAAACACATGTCCCATCTATACCACATATAGGGCTAGTGTGTTCACAGGTGATGGAGGACCGTGAGAAAACACATGTCCCATCTATACCACATATAGTGCTAGTGTGTTCACTGGGTGATGGAGGGACCGTAGAAAACACATGACCCATCTATACCATATAGGGCTAGTGTATTCACAGGTGATGGAGGACCGTAGAAAACACATTTCCCATCTATTTCACATATAGGGCTAGTGTGTTCACAGGTGATGGAGGACCGTAGAAAACACATGTCCCATCTATACCATATATAGGGCTAGTGTGTTCACAGGTGATGGAGGACCGTAGAAAATACATGACCCTGTCTATACCACATATGGGGCTAGTGTGTTCACAGGTGATGGAGGACCGTAGAAAACACATGTCCCATCTATACCACATATAGGGCTAGTGTGTTCACAGGTGATGGAGGACCTCAGAGAAAACACATGTCCCATCTATACCATATATAGGGCTAGTGTGTTCACAGGTGATGGAGGACCAGAGAAAACACATGTGCCATCTATACCACATATAGGGCTAGTGTGTTCACAGGTGATGGAGGACCGTAGAAAACACATGTGCCATCTATACCACATATAGGGCTAGTGTGTTCACAGGTGATGAAGGAACACAGATTACACATGTTCCTAGTATACCAAATATCGGCTGGTGCTGTTCAGAGGTGCTCTAAACCATCGGCCAAGTGTTTTATTGGAGAATAGTATGGTATGTTGAGCAGAGTAATCAGGACACACTGTAGACATGATACTTCTACTCCTACGAATATCCTACTGCTAACAAAACTAATACTACTAACATCCTGCTACTACTGATATCCTACTTCCAGAATACTAAATCTACTAACATTACTAATATCCTAACACCACACGCAATTATTAAATTACACGCAATAATGTAGGAATGTAAATTATACATGCCCCCACTATGCCATGTATCTGCCTAATGTATTCACTGGTGATGGAGCAAAATAGATTATACATGCCCCCACTATGCCATGTATCGGCCTAATGTATTCACTGGTGATGGAGCAAAATAGATGATACATGCCCCCACTATGCCATGTATCGGCCTAATGTATTCACTGGTGATGGAGCAAAATAGATGATACATGTCCCCACTATGCCATGTATCGGCCTAATGTATTCTCTGGTGATGGAGCAAAATAGATGATACATGTCCCCACTATGCCATGTATCTGCCTAATGTATTCTCTGGTGATGGAGCAAAATAGATGATACATGTCCCCCACTATGCCATGTATCAGCCTAATGTATTCACTGGTGATGGAGCAAAATAGATGATACATGCCCCCACTATGCCATGTATCTGCCTAATGTATTCTCTGGTGATGGAGCAAAATAGATTATACATGCCCCCACTATGCCATGTATCGGCCTAATGTATTCTCTGGTGATGGAGCAAAATAGATTATAGATTTTATGCCATGTATCGGCCCCCACTATGCCCCTACTATATCATGTATCGGCCTAATGTATTCATTGGTGATGGAGCAAAACAGATTATAGATTTTATACCCCACTATGCCACATATCGGCCTAATGTATTCACTGGTGATGGAGCAAAACAGATTATAGATTTTATACGCCCCCACTATGCCACATATCGGCCTAATGTATTCATTGGTGATGGAGCAAAACAGATTATAGATTTTATACGTCCCCACTATGCCACATATCGGCTTAATGTATTCACTGGTGATGGAGCAAAATAGATGATACATGCCCCCACTATGCCACATATCGGCCTAATGTATTCACTGGAGATGGAGCAAAATAGATGATACATGCCCCCACTATGCCTAATGTATTCACTGGAGATGGAGCAAAATAGATGATACATGCCCCCACTATGCCATTACCTTGTGTGTTCACGCAGGACTTGCACAGTATACATCTAGTGATAGATGACAAATGTGGACCTATCACTCCTGTTTGGTATTGTTGATCCCTGGCCGGCAGACTAATGGGTCATGTCTCCTGTTATGGAATTACGGATAGTTAACATCTGGAGATTGTTTAATAATTGAAAAAAGAATTTCTATTAACTGCGTTCTGGAAGAGACCTCAAGTTCTGCCTTAGAATCAGCACTGGTGTACCTTTAGTGTTTTCAGTGGACCTTATTAGCTGGTCATGCCAGACAAAGCTCGTCTACTGTTGCAGACTGTGATTCTCTTTAGAATATCTTTTTATTTGTTCATCAATTAATAATTTTCCATCATACTTTTTGCATCATTGATGTAAATTAAGAACCACTTTTGAAATCTTCCTCCCTACATCCAGATACTCAAAAAAAGTAATATACAATATAAGTGTTTGTTGTTGCAAGTGTCATGGTATGTTATATGTCCTCATGATTCCGTATTGATCTTGAATGTTCAAAATATACTGGACAAAATATCCCTAGCTATTTTTGTCCAGTATATATGATCCAATAAACATGTACATGCTCCGTCTTGATGTAGACAGAATTCTGAAGTGTGGACCACGTGGTCTCATGGAAATATGTGCTATATTCAACAACAGGTGCTGTACTAATGTTGACAGTGTTCATAGAAGGAGATATGGGGCTGGGGGAAGGAAGCCC